TGGCCCGTGGCCACCATCCTCCTCCTTGACACTCTAGAAGCTGCTCTGTCTGAGCGAGGCGGCAGAATTTACAACAGGATGTGGTTATTGGCGCTGCACAGATATGTGAGGGGAGCCTAGACGTCCGGTGTATTTATTCAGCAGGGTGGCTAAGGACCTTCTCTGTGCCAGTCACCAGGCTAGATGAGAGGATGTGACAGGGAGCAAGAAGCCCGTGGAGCCTGGGCTGCCAGCCCACTCATGACCCTAGGAGTCCTCGCACAAGATCAAGGAGACCTGAAATAAACAGCCAGAAACAAACCCTCAGATGATACAGTCAGCCAGCAGCCTCAGCTTCAGAGGCAAGGTAGGAAACGGCCATGAAGATGTTCTTCAGCCCAGACAGATGTGGGTAGGAGGCTGGCTGTATCACCTCGAAGCTGTGGGATCTTGGACAGTTTACGGGGTCGTTCCAAGGGCCAATTTTCTCATCTGTGGAGTGGAAACAGACTCCCTTCAGAGGCCCCCTGTGAGCAGCAGAGAATGACTGTGAGGTGTGTGACGCGCTTGACGAGCACCGTCTGTCAGGATTATGATGGCAGCACTGAAGTGTTTTCTGTTTCTATTCTGACCTACAACGGTGCCTCCTTCTGTCACCAAGTATAGGTAAGAGTTGGGAGAAGAATGGCAGACTCCTCCGGTGGCTCCCACGGGGTTCCCGCAGGGAGGCAGCCGGCAGCAGATGTAAGGAAGCCCTGCCGGTCAGACGCTTGGAGAAGGAACGAGATGTTGCCAGCACCACTCACGGGGTTTGCAAATAAACTGTCACCTCTCAGCTCTCACCAGTGTGCGGCTGTGACAGACAGGTTCATGTGTGTGCAACACCCTCTTCCCTGCCACCCCCAACTTGAACACTTTCTGTTGAAAAATGCCAGGCTGCGCAGCTTTCAAGTAGATGGAGGAATCTGTGAGCATCAGGCCTTCCCGGCAGGGGAGTGAGGACAGCCGGTGCCTGCGTCCTTAGCCTGATTGTCGGCTGAATTGCGAAATTTGCAGCAAGGTTTCTAAGGATCGCCAGCCTGGGTGGTTCAAACTGGCAAGGTCCAGTGCCCATGCATGGAGCCCAAGCTACCTGCCAGTTTGATGACAGTCAGGTTTGTAGGGCTCCATCTTGGAATTTTAGGCCAGAGAGAAAAGGTCGGAGCCCCTCTCTGTGGTACCTTTGGGGAAAGCCAGAAACAAGGATGTCAAGAAGAGTTCAGAGTTTTGAGCTGGAAGGTATCTCAAAAATCGGGTAGTCCAGTCATTTTCACATGTCCACTTTTACAGGAAAAACTTTGTTTATCTCAAATATAATCATATTATAAACTTAATATGTATTTTTAAAAAGAAAAAAATATGCTCTTCTGTGTTGCTCGACAGGGATGCTATTGAACATTCCAGAAAGAATTTGTTTTGTGGAACAGTCCTGTTGTACAAAATATTTAGTATTCCTGGCCCCCATCCCCAATATCAGTGGTGCCCCCTCCGCCACCTCAAGTGACTGAAACTAAAAAGCGCCACATATTCCTCCATGCCCTCTGTGGTTACCATTCCCACTGGGAACTCATCTAATTAAGTGGGGATGCAAGGGAGAGGGCAGCCACTGAGCCTGAGATGGCGCCCTTGAACCTGGCCTTTGCAGAGCATCCCCTCTAAAAACCACCGTGGAGTTGCCTGACAACACCGGAAGCAGCACATTCTCACTGTATTGCCTGGAATAAGCCCTTTAGCCTCTGGGGGCCTCCATTTTCTCCTCTGCAAAACAGAAATGATAATCCTTGCCTATTCCATAGCACTTTTGTGGAGACCAAATGAGGCCTTGCGCACAGCATACTTTGTAAACTCCCGAGCCCTTGCTGATGTACAGCATCCTTCATCATATTACTCTCCTGTGTATATAAAGACACTGTTATCCAAGTCTTTTGAAAAGACTTACCATGGAAACCAAATAATAAAAGCAAAAAGCTCAGTCATAAGGCTTTCACTGAAACCTGCTTCTATTCGCATCCGTTGCACACACAGCCCCTGGAGACGACGGCTGTGCTCCACTCCCACTGAGACACCTACTTCGGCTTTTGTTAGCTGCCAAGACAGTCAACCAACCTCGACCTGCAGCAGAGGCTCAGCCGGCACAACTGGGAAGCCCACAACTTAGAGAAAACTGCTTAGTGGGCCTCAGTCCTTTCCCTGCTACCCAAATGGTGCTTTTGACTTGAAAATATATCAGGAAAAAAGTTATGAACAGACATTTCACCCAACTTCACACCTGTACCAGATCCAGATGTCACCATTTTGACAATGTCTGCATCATTTTCAGTGTTTTGACAGGTTGGAACCTAATTCGTTAACAAAAGTTGAGATTTTCATTGAAAGGAGAATCAAGATGACATCACATCATTGAGGTCTCTCTTTCCCCTGGATTATTTGAAAAGTAGTCCTCAAGTCATAAAAGAAAAGGCTGTGCAGGTATGTTTTTCAGAATGAATGCAGGCAAAAAAGTCCATTTTAACTTCACTGTAAGCTACAGCCAATGTTTTTCCAAGTTCCAAATCTTAGTAGGTGAAATAGCTGGGTTTATTTCTTTCTTTTCCTCTGTTCCTCATTCCTGTGTTCGTGGTATGCATTACCCTGAAATGAGAGTCCTTCTAACATTCCCAAGTAAGCCCCAGGAGCCAGGTGGAATTGCTTTAGTAGGCTTAGGATCAGCTTTGCAGGATAAAATCTCACAATATGTCCACTTACTCCCAACCCTTGGCCATTGTTTTCTCTAGTTTGGCTAAATACAACTTATGGTTCAAAGAGAAAATGCATGGCGTGGTTTTGCTGGCTTCCTCAAAATATCCAAGGGATTCCACATGGGTAAATCTAATATAAATAAGAAGGAGATGATTCCATTTCTCCGTAAACATGCCTGGGCTAAAGATACATGGAAAGGGTACCTGGCTTGAAACATTCTACTTTCTCCACTTCAGAAAAAAAATAGCATGAACAAATAAAGCGGATCCAAAACACTAGCCCAGGATCACCAAACACAAAGGAGGAAAATACTGAAATGGCAAAAGAAAACGTAAGTGAAACTTTCCATCTTCATTCACACTGGGGAGCACAGAGAAGCTAAACCAGTAACTGAATTTTTAAGGATCATGTGTGGCTTTATTGTCATCCCTGGCAGTAGAGGTCAGGCCATCTTACCCACTGACCTGGAGCAGCTGCACTTTGGCTGTGTTCGTCTTTGCTGGTGTATCTCAGTTTGTTGCCAAGGAAAAATGAAATAGAAGCCCAGGAGCAAAAGGTCAATAATGGCAGCAGAAGAAAGGAAACCTGTTAAATTGTCTCTGCCTCTCCATCACCTTTGCTTCTTTTTGAACACTTACTCTTCTAGACCAGACGCTTGTGCGAATAAAGGCCTATTATATAAGCAATTCAAAAACGATACAGGGGCAAGTTTTCCCATGATAAATGTCGATTAACCCATAATGGGCAGTGCACCTTCAAACGGAGGATCTGGGTGCTAAGCAGCAATACAGCTAGTTAGTAAGCACATGACTCCTCATTCAGTCGAACCAGCTTTGCCACTTGCTTTCTGTGTGACATGGGACAAGTCAATCTCTTTAATTTTCAGATTTGGCATTCGTCTAATGGGATTAATGACTATGACTATCTCATGATTTTTGTGTGCCTTAAAGAAATGATCCAGATAAACTCTTAACACATTGCCTGGTACAAAATTCTTACAAATGTTAGTCATTGTTATTGTTTTTGTTAGAGATTTAAAAATATGCCATATGAGAGGCAAGTGAAATACCTTCTCTAAACCGCTTCACTCCACAATTCTGCATTACTCACAGCTACGCAGCGCTCACCAGTTACAGTGCTTAATTCAAATTTTAAAATTTCTGTTCCCATTGCTTAGGCACCATTAAATCTGACAGAGTTGGAATTCCTCTGGGTACCTCGCCAGGCCCCTGCCTGCATCCAGACCCACCTGGATATTGCATGGATATAAAGAGCACAGCCTGGAGTTTTCACCTGCAAAGAAACAGTCTCACTCCGGCCAGTACTGCCTACGCGAAAAGCTGGCCAGTCTCTAAGAGAAATACTTTGTCTCAGAGAGCAGGCACAAGGCTGTTCCACAGACTCCCTATCCAAGAGGAACTTCCTGGTGGTGAACCATACAGTGTGCTCAGATTTACACACTAGGCGTACCTGATGTCCAAATTAAAGGCAGCCTGTAGCATTCAGGATGACACCAATAAAGGGGGTGGCAGCAGCATCCCAGAGCATTGAAACTGCCAAAGGATTATAAATCATTCTACTGTAAAGACACACGCACACATATGTTTATTGCAGCACTATTCACAATAGCAAAGACTTGGAACCAACCCAAATGCCCATCAATGACAGACTGGAAAAAGAAAATGTGGCACATATACACCATGGAATACTATGCAGCCATAAAAAAGAATGAGTTCATGTCCTTTGCAGGGACATGGATGAAGCTGGAAACCATCATTCTCAGCAGATTAAAACAGGACCAGAAAACCAAGCACCACATGTGGGAGTTGAATAATGAGAATACATAGACACAGGGAGGGGAACATCACACACCGGGGCCTATTGAGGGGTGGGGGGCAAGGGGAGGGAGAGAATTAGGATAAATACCTAATGTATGCAGGGCTTAAAACCTAGGTGATGGGTTGATGTTGCAGCAAACCATATGGCACATGTATACCTATGCAACAAACCTGCACATTCTGCACATGTATCCCAGAACTTAAACTAAAATAAAAAATAAAAAATATACACATATGCAAACCAGTACAGGAGAAAGAAAGAAAGAAAGAAAGAAAGAAAGAAAGAAAGAAAGAAAGAAAGAAAGAAAGAAAGAAAGAAAGAAAGAAAGAAAGAAAGAAAGAAAGAAAGAAAGAAAGAAAGAAAGAAAGAAAGAAAGAAAGAAAGAAAGAGAGAGAATGCCATCCATGGGCTAAGGGACGTATGCAAGTCTGAAGAGAAGCACTCACTGATGTAGGGTACCAGGACAGTGCCCAAGTAGCGCTGATGGAGGCAGGCACAAAACAAGATGCCTTGCCTTCCTCCATCTCCCACAGATGGAATCTCTTTGCTCTAACAGGGTTGTTGTGGGTCTGCTACATTATCCAGTTTTTACATTTACTTTTATTTGTGAGACTGAGTTGGTAGTGTCATTTACCCACTCAGAATAAGGAAATGTGAAATTCCCACTTACAACCAAAACTTTTTGGCTGGGTATAGAGCAAGAAATCTGTCCATCCATCAGCAACTCCATCCAATCAGTCAGTGCATCAAAGCAGGAGAGTAGTTGAAAAAGCTCCAATAAGATGATGAGTTAATGAACGCACTTTGCTGCTTCTTCCCCTGAACCAAATTCTGAGATACCCTGGGAGCAAAAAGAAATGTGGTGAACCCCAAAACCCAGTGTTACTGCTGTGAGACTCACCTGAGAACACAGAAGGTGGCTGGGTTGCTATGCGGACACGGCATCCTAGGCTGGAGGAGGGTCAGGCCACCGATGAGAATGGAGGCCAGGGAGAGCTGTCAGTCTCTGCCCTTTTCTTTCCTCAGCATGAACCTGGGAAGATCCGTATCCGCCCATCATCTAAATGCAGCAATGCCAGCCCAGCCCAGTGCCTGCTGGAAATGAAGGGACACATTGGAGCAGCTCAAAGCAGAGTTAAGAAGTTCTCTGAGAAGCAAAGTCACCCTGTTATGGAAAAGGTACAAACAGAGAAGGGGTCCCTAATACAGTTCCAAGGCAATATGATTCAGGAGGAAAAATGAGTCATTAAACAAGAACAGCAGCTCATTTAACAATGTCTGCCAGAGGGAGCAGATATCATGGACACAGAAAAAGAACCTAAAAGAAAAGAAGCCCTATAGTCCCAATGATTTTGGAGGCTGAGGCAGGAGGATTGCTTGAGGCTAGGAGTTTGAGACCAGCCTGGGCAATATAGGGAGACTCCATCTCTACAAAAAATAAAGAATATAACAGGAATTGTACAAATATAAATGAGTTGAACTCACCAATCAGATTAGATTTTTTTTTTAGATTTTTTTATTTATACAGCATTATGCATTTGCAGGGCACCCTTTTAATAATCATTAAAATGTAATAAAGATAATCAGAAAAAACTGAACCAAAAATAAGCCAACATAATTAATTGTCACACAAAGATTTGTAAGAAACATAATAATAGACAAAGAGGAATATGAAAAATTGGTAAAACACTCAAGAAGAATATGAAGATAAATGAATATCTATGTACTTAACAATGTGGTCTCAAAACATAAAACAAATCTGAAGAGAATGCAATAAGACAACTGTGGTTAGATTTTAATAAGCCCCTTTCAGGAACTGATGGAGCAAAGAGACAAATAAAAGTAGAGAAATATAAATAGTTGTTAAGCTCAAGTGTTAGGTATATACACTTCTGCATGAAAGAAAGAAAACATTCTTTTAAAACAATCATGAAATCATGAAATGTTCACCAAAATCTGCCATTTACAATCTTACAAAGGAACCTCAATAAATTTCCTAAAGTCATACACACTGTGCTCTTTGAATATCAGGAATAATTTATGCCAGAAAATTAGATAACCTAGAACAGTGGCTCCCAACATTTTTGGCACCATGGAAGACAATTTTTCCATGAACCAGGGTTGGGGGATGGTTTCAGGATGATTCAAGGGCATTACATTTATTGTGTACTTCATTTCTATTATGATTACATTGTAATATATAATGAAATAATTATACAATTCACCATAAGGTAGAACAAGTGGGAGCCCTGAGCTTGTTTTCGTGCAACTAGACGGTGCCATCCGGGGATGATGGGAGACAGTGACAGATCATCAGGCATTAGATTCTCATAAGGAGTGCCCAGCCTAGATGCCTGGCATGCACTGTTCACAAAAGAGTTCGCGCTCCTAATCTAATGCTGCCACTGATCTGACAGGAGGCGGAGCTCAGGCAGTAAGGCGAGAGATGGGAGCAGCTGTAAATACAGATGAAACTTTACCTGCTCTCCCAGCACTCATTTCTTGCTGTGTGGTCCAGTTCCTAACAGGCGATAGTCCAGTACTGGTCCATGGCCCAGGGGTTGGGACCCCTGACCTAGAAGAAATGGGCAAATTATTTGAAACACACAAATTACCTAAACTAACTCAAGAGGACAGAAAATATCAGCAGACCCATAACAAGAAATTGAATCAGTAATCAAAAAAATATCCAACAAAAAAAAATGTTCTACACCAGAAGGCTTACTGGTGAATTCTACTGAACATTTTAAAAAGAATTAACATCAGTCTTTTTCAAACTCTTCCAAATGCTTGAAGAGGAAGAACACTCCCTAAGCCATTGTATAAGGCCAGCATTACTCTAATACCAAAGTCAAAGACACTACAAGAAAAGAAAACTACAGACCAATAATCCTTTATGAATATAAATACAAAACTCCTCAACAAATTAAACAGAGTCTTCACTTAAGGTCATGGATAGGTTATTGGAAACTGTGACTTTTAAGCAAAATGACATACAGCAAGTCCTTCAATAATGCTTCCTGTTCTATTTCATTTTATGTTAATTTTAATGAAAAAAACCTGTTTTTGTTTTAGGTAATTTTGCTTAAAGTCACGGTTTCCAAGGACGTGTTGATGATGTTGAGAAGTTACTGTACTAGCAAGCAGAGTTCAGCAGCATGTTGAAAGGATTACACACAATGACTAAATGGGATTTATCCCAGGAATGGAAGGGTGGTCCAACATATAAAAAACTAACCAATAATAAATAATTATCAAAATCCCAATGGCATTTGTTGCATAAACAGAAAAACTCATTCTAAAATTCATATGGAATTTCAAGGGACCCCAATTAGCTGAAAGTATGCTGAAAAAGAAGAACAAAGTTGAAGAACTCATACTTCTCAATATAAAAACTTGATTGACATAGCTTCAGTAATCCAAACAATTTGGTACTAGCATAAGGATAGACATGTAGACCAATGGAGTAGAATTGAGAGCCTAGAAATAAACTCTCACATCTATGGCCAATTTATTGTTGATCATCCAATGGGGAAAGAACAGGTTCTTCAAAAAATGCTACTCCAAAAACTGGATATTCACATGCAAAAGAATAAAGTTGGACCCTTCCCTTACACCATATACAGACATTAACTGAAAATGGACCAAGCACCTGAACGTAAGAGCTAAAACGATAAAACTCTTAGAAAAAAAAAAAAAACATAGGGACAAATCTTCATGGCCTTGGATTTGGCAATGATTTCTTAAATATGACACTAAAAGTATAAGTAACAAAAGAAAAAGAATGACAAACTGGATTTGATGAAAATTTAAAACTTTTGTTCATCAAAGGACACTATCAACAGAATGAAAAGACAATCCACTGATGGGAGAAAATATTTACAAATCACATATTTAAAAGGTCTAATATCTAGAATATATAAAGAACTCCTATAACTCAACAACTAATAGACAACCCATTGTAAAAAAAAAAAAAAAAAAAAAAAAAGGAAAAAGACCTGAGTAGACATCTCTGCAAAGAAGACATACAAATAGCCAGTAAGCACATGAAAAGATCTTTAACATCATTAGCCATTACGGAAATGCAAATCATAACCACAATGAGATACCACTTAATACCTACTAGGATGGCTATAATTGAAAACACACACACACACACACACAGAAAGAGAGAGAAAATAGCATGTGGACAATAATGTGAAGAAATTGGAACCCTCCTACATTTCTGGTAGGAATGTAAAACTGTGTAGGCATTGCAGAAAACAGTTGGCAATTCCTACAAAAAAAAAAAATGTAGAATTATCATGTGGCCCAGCAATTGAACTCTTAAATATATACCCCAAAAAACTGAAAACAGGAATTCAAACAAATATGTGAACACCAATGTTCAAGGCAACATTATTCACAGTAGTCCAAAGGTGGAAACAACCAAGGTATCCATCAACAGATGAATAGATAAACAAAACGTGATATACACATACAATGGAATATTATTTCATCATGAAAAGATATGAAGTTCCGATACATGCTACAACATGGATGAACCTTGTAAACATTATTCCAAGTGAAATAGGCCAGACACAAGAGAACAAATATTGTATGATACCACTTATATGAAATATCTACAATAAGCCAATACGTAGAGACAGAAAGTATATTAGAGGTTACCTGGGGCCAAGGGAAAGCAAGAATAGAGGGTAATTGCTCAACAGGGGTAGAATTTCTGGTTGGGTGATGAAAATGTTTTGATGATGGTTGCACAACATTTTGAATGTAAATAATGCCACCGAATTGTACACTTAAAATGGTTAAGATGGCAAATGTTGTCTTATCTGTTTTAGCACACACACAAACACACCTTCAAATAACCAAGCAAATGAGAAGAAAATACTTATTAGGAAGCCAAGAAGTGGGAAAAAAGAAATAACTAGAGGAAATTCAGACAATGGAATTGTCAGTCATTGAATTTAAATTAACTATTTAACTATGCTTAATATGTTTGCAGACATTTTTTTTTTCTTTTTCTGCTTTTTTTTCTTTTTTTTTTTTGAGACAGAGTCTCACTCTATTGCCCAAGCTGGAGTGCAGTGGCGCAATCTTGGCTCACTGCAACTTCTGCCTCCTGGGTTCAAGAAATTCTCATGCCTCAGCCTCTCAAGTAACTGGGACTACAGGCTCCTGCCACCATGCCCAGCTAATTTTTGTATTTTTAGTACAGATGAACCGAAATATACCTGTAATGACAATAAATGCAAACCAATTAAACACTCCATTTGAAAGACTGAGAAATCAAGCCAAACTCAACTCTACACTGCTGACAAAAGACTCACATTAAATATAAAGAAATAGAAATGCTGAAAGTAAAAGGATGACAAAGATATACCATACAAATCCTAACCCAAAGAAAGCTGATGTAGCTATACTAATATTAGATAGTGTAGACTTTAAGGCAAGAAGCACTCCTAGAAATAGAGACACTTCATAAGTGTAAAAGCTTCTACCAAGAAGATATAGCAATTTTAAATTTCTAAGCACTTAACATCATAGACTCAAAACATATAAAACAAAAAGACAAAACTAAAAAAAAGGTAAAAATGCATAATCTTTGTGGAGTATTTTAATACATTAATATATTTAATATATTTCTCAAAGCAGACATAAAGTCAATATATAAAATATATGAACCACACAATAACCTAACTGAGATATATTAGTCACTACAGCCCAAAATTAAATAATATGCACTCTTTTGAAATTTGCATGAGAAACTTACCAAAACAGAACATATCCTAGTCCATACCCTGGGAACATTTCAAAAGGCTGAAATCTTACAGTGTCTATTCTTTAATCAATAACAGAAAGGTAATTAGAAAATCTGTCAATGCTTGGAAATTAAGCACCACAAATGCTTGGACATTAAGCACTACACGTACACAATCCAAACACTATACAGCCTCCAAAGATATACATATCTAAGGACTCATACAATGAATTAGAGTGGCTGTCAGTGGAGAGAGAATAGTAAATAAGGAAATTAAAAAAAATAAAATGTAACCAACAGACAGGCCATGCACAGCATGATAATTTTGGTGACTCATGACCCCAAAAGTATGTTGAATTCAACCCTGTACACCTGAGGTCAAAAATTAAATAAATAAATAATTTTATAAAGAACTTCTAGAAATCAGAAAATCTAAATTCTAGCATATTCCAAATATACTGTCAATTCCACGTCTTTGGGCTTCATGTTTGGTATCTACAGAGAATGCATACTAATATTAACGAACAGTCTTTGTACCTCATACGTCAATTCAACAAGCAGCCATTGAATTTGTTATGTGGCAGACACTGCACCAGTTGGTGGGGACACAGTTCCAGCTCTCAAGAGTCTTATTCCTCAAGGGCGCTGACGTCATACAAAGCAAAAGGAGGAAATTTTGTAAGAACAACCACAAAGCAAAATTGCACAGAAGCCACGGGTTACACAACGAAGTTCCAGGTATTTGATAACTGATTTTGACCTGGCTGAGGAGGACCTACCTTTTTTTTTGAGACAGGGTCTCACCTTGTCACCCAGGTTGGAATGCAGTGGTGCAGTCATGATTCACTGCAGCCTCCACCTCCCTGGGCTAAGTTGATCCTCCTACCTCAGCCCCCCAAGTAGCTGAGACTACAGGCACACACCACCATGCCCAGCTAACTACAGGCACACATCACCATGCCCGGCCAATTCAGTATTGTAACTTTTGCATTTTTGTTTCACCATGTTGCCTAGGCTGCTCTCAAACTCCTGGTCTCAGGCGATTCACCGGCCTTGGCCTCCCAAAGTGCTGGGATTACAGGCATGAGCTACCGCGACCAGCCAGGACCTATCTTTTGATCCTGGGAATGCTATGCAACATGTGAGCTCCTTCAGGGCAGGGGCAAAGGATTTTCGATTCTGCAATTCCAGTGTTTAGCCAAACAAGAGCGTATTACGTTTTTGTTGAATGAATGAATGTAGAATGGATGTCAGTTTGAGCTAGTATTCCATGTTCTATATTTCTACATCAAGACCCAGGTATAGAAAGAACTGGGACCTGTGACTGGAGGCAGACTTTACTGCATCCACAAGCAGGTAAACATCCTTCAGTGCTGAACTCGAGACAATGTCCAACCCCACACGCAGTCATAATTCCAGGGCTTACATCAGAGTACTGGAAAATTTCATTATCTGTCGGCCAACTGTGAATCAAATGCACACAATGCTGAGAAAGAACCACCCATCATAAAACCTTAAAGAATAACCTGCTTTCCAATGCATATGCAGGAATAAATGAGCACCTACCAGAGTGCTCGCTGACAATATGAGCAGGACGATACCCTCCCAGTAAGGTTCTTGGAAGAATGACATGAAATGTTCAAAGGCCCAACAATTAGAGGTGCTCAATAAATATTTGCTATTAAATACACAGTGGGTATTCTGTAAATATGAGTTTTTCTTCTCCCTCCTTTCTCCCACTCTTCCACCTTTCCAAGAGAGGTAGGTAACCATGAAATAGAGAAATACTTTGAGGAATTTTCCTGCACAATTCTAGGTATACTGAACTGCAGAAAAACATAGCCACTGTTGTAGCATCGAAAGGCCAGGGATACTGGGTGCCACAGGGGGATTCTGGAAGAAGGAAATACTAGATATGGGGAAAGAACCATCTGTCTCTGCAAAAGGCCCCAACTTACCTTCAAAAACTTATTTTCCATTAGTCCTTTGCCCAAACTTAACAACAGATATTTATATAAAACTGCCTACGTGCTAGGCACTTTTCTAAGTGCTTTACACGGATTCCTAACAACAGTCCAATTAAATAAGTACCATTATCATCCCCATTTTATAGATGCAGATGCTAAGAACTAGAAGGATGAAGAAGTCCAGAGGGTCTCAAAACTGCTCGGGATTTATATCAGTACCTCTAGGAAATCCTCCAGGATTAGGCAAAGTAGCTAAGAAAAAAAAGAAAATTGAGGACTGACAAGAAGACCAAAGGTGGAACCCTGAGAAACAACAGCTACATTTATGGGACAGAAGGAGGAAGAATTGACCTCAGGGTGTGGTGTGAGAGGTAGTAGGAGAGCCAAGGCAGGGTGCTGTCTTGGCCATTCAGGGAAGGGTGTTCAAATAACGAGGTCACATCAACCATTTCAGGAAGGTATTGGGAAGTGTTTGCTGGGATTGGCAATTAGCAGGTCACTGACAACTTGGTTGAGAAGAGTTTTAGTGTTGTGCTGGGGAAAGAATAATGGCCTCATCCTCAAATCCCTTGTAAGACCCTTGAAAGAATCTATCTCTCTCTCTCTCTCTCTCTCTCTCTCTCTCTCGCACGCGCATGCTCTCTTTCTCTCTCTCTCTGCATCTGTTACCTTTGACCAGGCTTATACATAGTAAGTGCTCATTTTGCTGGTTTTGCCATTGCTGATAAAGATAATGACATGCTACTATTGCTGTTATGAAGTCAAGAGCAAAAGATGGTGTGTACGTGAGTTGAGATTTCGAAAATATGGGTGCAGGAGGCAATTACCCCTCAATTTCAGTTAGGTAGGAAAGGGGTCAGGAAGACAGAGCTTCCTTCATTGCAGAGAGATGACCACAGGATGCCCCATAGTCAGTGACCAACTCTACTTAGCCAGAGAGAGAAACTGCAGTTCTCAGACAGTAAATGCAGTTGCCCCTTCTTATGGAGACTCAGCTGCCAGAAACAAAGGTGAGTGTTCAAGGTCACTGTGAACCCCGGGCCCACCCTTGAAATACTGTCCATTTGTCTGCCTCTAGTCCTTTTTTGGCTCCTGAAGTCCAATCATTCTTTGCCCTTTTAACCACTCTGGTGTGTCTTGGAGAAAACACAGTTCTTCGTGGTCTGCCAGTAGTCGAGGGAGGAATCTGAAAGCTGACTGTTTCTCCCACAGCTTCAGGAGCATTAAAACTTCAAAAGAGGAACTATTTATGCTGTCATTACCACAGCGGTCACTTCTGCAGGATTTCTTTCTCTGATGCAGCACTGGTTGGACAGGCTTGGCTCACGGCCCGCCGAGAGGGGAGAGGAGGGCGTTGCAGAGACACTGAGTCATCCTACCTCCTCCACGCCCTCCGCAGCTGCCCCTCACTGCACTTCCTCCTCCTCCTCAAGCTAAAGGTCAGCTCTCATGCTCATGCCAAGTTTTGAGAAACACACATACGCCAAAAAAAAAAAAAAAAGGCTTCAGAGAGGGTACATTTTTTAACATGAAAAGAAATAAGGAAAGCCTCCTTCAAAAATAAATGTAAAAATAAGTAACTCTTCCCCCACACTACTTAATAACTCCAGAATGATAAAAATTTTCCAATTGTGAATATGTAAGGAATAAAATAAAAGGAATGAATGCCCCACTGTGTTAATGCAGGCCTCTTTAAAATGATTCTAATTTCTTCCAGAAGGCTCTGGAGGGTAGATTGCAAGGTTTGTCTTAATATAGAATTATTCCCTTCTCTCTACATGTCTTTAGAACCAGTGTGAACATCGTGATATTTTACAGTTGGCAACCTGTACATCGCTGCTCAAAAATCCTGCATTCCAAGGGCTACAATCATGCATTGTGCATTTGAAATGCCTGTTGCTAAGAACAAATATCAACCCCAGGACGACCCCACTCAGCAGATCCAGCCAACTCCCGCACAGAGCTGTTTCCCGACCTCTGGTCAGAGACAGGAAGCCCATTGGACCTCAGGCCCAGGCAAGTGCGGAGGGTTCCTAGGCAGGTGACGTGGTAAAACATTGACAACTAGCTCTCTCTCTCTCTTCAGGATAACGTCTGCCTCCCACCCTTCCTGGTCCCAGCTTAGGAATCTATGCAACCCTTTTATATGCATTGCCAGGAGGCCTGTGAAGTAGATTCGACAGAGGTTTTACAGCATTGTTCCTATTTAACTGATCAAGGACTGAGCCTCGTAGTTTAACAACATGAAGTTGTACCGGAACGACTAAGCAGTTGCTGGAGTAAAACCCTCAGCTTCCAAATCGCACCCCCATTAAATTCACTTCCAGCCCCGTTGTACCCTCTTTCCCCATGAGGCCTCCCCAGTGGTGCTGAAAACAGGGACTGACCTGGTTGCAGCTGGAGGCTGGGGTCCTGTTCTTCACATGTTGCCACGCTGCCCTCGAAGGCCAACTGCCCCGTGGGCACTGTCCGTCTGCAGATCACTCGCTGTCGACACTCAGACCTCCATCTCACGGCAGGGTTGCCCGTGTCCACACCTCCCGCTTCTCCCATGCCACTTACAGCCTGTTTCAGATTAGTTTTAATTTTCTGGAGATTTTCCAGACTCTCCTCAGCCAAACAATCAGGGAAAGGGAGAGGCCTGGCGCCGGGCAAACGAACAGAGCCCTTCCCGCCCTGGAGCTGCCTCCAGCAGAGGCAACTCCGTGTAGGGTGAACATGGCCACAACGGGGGAAAGCGATGATGTTCAATTATGTTATACGTTATGTGCTTTTGTTTTACGCACTTCTCCGTAAATGACCTTCTTCCTAGTGAGTGGAGGAGTGTTGGGGGTGGAGTGCTAGGATGTGAAAGTAAACACCAAGAGAAAGGTACAGGTTCAACGTGAGCATCTACAATAGGATTATCAAAGCTACAGAAAGGCTTTGTTAGGAGAGAAAGGGTTTTCCTCAATCCCTCTTTCTACCTTTCTTTAGCATTTCAGAAGGCAAGTCTGGCAAACCTGCTCCCGGAGTCCTGCCTGAAAGAGGTCTCACCCATTCGCCTGATGAATGGAGAGAAGAAGGAAGACAGAGAGAGGGAGAAATTTGGGGGCAAGGAGTATGATCCCCACCGCCTAAGTCCCGCATCTCTCAAAGCGGGCCTCAGGGGCTTTAGAGGCACTGGGTTAGGTATGGAGAGCCCAAACCATCAGCTGAGCGCACGCTGCTGGGACCTTTCAGGGCAGTCTGCCATCTGCAACATGAAGCAGGAACAGTGGTGCCCAGGAGGCATGGGATGCAAGGAGTTGGATCATTGGAGGACATGGCCTGGGTCTCCATGGCTGGTGGGCTGCAGGTCGGGGCCCAGAAGTTCCCCCATGGCTCCGTGAAGACAAGTGAAGTGGTGAGAGGCAGCTGGGTTGGCATCGACCTGGACGGGAGTGAAGAGGCCATGGGGCAGGCTGTGAGATCAAACACGTGGCCACCACGTTACTGGAAAATCACAGTATTAACTACAATCACCTTTGGGCGCTAACTTCAAGTAATAAGCAGAATCACACCGCTCCCCCACCTCCACCAATATCACCCTGGCCCAAGTCAATTGCGTCTCCAATCCTGACTTCCTTTCTCGCTACATCGGCCTCCTTACTGGCCATCTTGTTTCCACTCTTGGCCCTTGCGGTCTATTTTTCACCTAGGAGCCAGAGTGACTCCTTTAAAAATGTAGCAAAGACCGTGACACTTCTCAAGTCAAAACTCTCCAATGACTTCCCAATTGATTTGAACTATAAAGTCCTCACCATAGCCAATAGGATGATACATGATCTGGCCTCTGTCTCCCTCTCAAACTCCATTTCCTACTGGCTCATCCTCTCCCACTC